GATCCTTGATCACCATGTTGCTCTCTGCATCCAGCAAGGGATGGAGATTCTCCCTAGCCCCCTTTTCCTCCTCTTACTGTTGATGTATTTATAGAAATATTGTTTTCCTTAGTGGCCAAGTTCAGTTCTAGCTGGGCTTTACCTTTTCTAATTTTCTACCTGCACAGCTTCACTGTGTATTTGTAATCCTCATAAACAGCTTGACCCCTTTTCCAAAGACCATAAACTTCCCTTTTGTTCCGGAGTTCCAGCCAAAGGTCTCTGTTCAGCCATTCTGGTCTCCTTCTCCACCAGCTCATCTTCCATGGCTTGGGGATGGTCAGCTCCTGCACCTTAAAAATAACTTCCTTAAAGTATTCCCAGCCTTCCTGGGCCCCTATGCCTTCCAGAACTACCTCCCAAAGGACTCTCTCAACCATGGTCTGAAAGTCCAAGACCAAAGTCTGCCTTCCAGAAGTTGGTGGTAGTTCTGCTTACTCCCCTCTGTGGTTCAACAAGGATAAAAAAATCTCATTTTGTGATCACTTTGCTCCAAATGGCCTCCAACCTTTACATCCCCTGCAAGACCTTCTTTGTTAATAAGCAGCAGGTCCAGGATTTTCCTTTCCCTTGTTGGCTCCTTCACTGGCTGTGTCAGGAAGTTATCTCCCATACACTCTAGGAACCTTTGGGTCTCTTCCCTTTCTGCTGTATTATAATTCCAGCAGATGTCTGGGAAGTTCAAGAAGCCCACGAGATCAAGTGGTAGAGACCTTGAGGCCTTACCCAACTGTAGTATCTTATCTACCTCCGTCCAGTTTGGATGGCATGTAGCAGACTCCCACAATAATGTCATTCTTGTTGGCCTTCACTTTTATTCTGACCCATAAGCTCTCTACCCTCATCATCATTATTAATTTCCATACATTCACATTCTTTCTTAACATACCACCACCTTTCCTGACTCATCTACCTCTTTTGAAAAGTTGGTAGCCATCCATCACAGTGCTCAACTGTGTGAGTCATCCCACCATGTTTCCATGATGGCGACTATATCGTAGCTTTCCAACCACACAGTGGCCTCTGCCTCTCCTGTTTGTTACCCATGCTGTGTGCATTAGTGTAAATGCACCAGAGTTGGGCCACCTTCTGAGTAGGAGAAGTCCTAATACCTTCTTGACCATACTCAGGTGTTTCTGTAGTCTTTGTACAAAAAGATGAGTCCTTCTCTTCCTTCACCAAGACACAAGACTGTGGGATATTACTAGCACATCCCCCTCCCACACTCATTGGCACGTTACATATAGGCTCCTTTCTAGTAACCCCAGTTTCACCACCATCCCCACCCCTCATTGGTTGAGTTTAAAGCTCAATCAATGAACCTTTCCAATTCCCACTGTAAAACCCTTTTCCACTGGTGGGATAAGCTATTTCTATTGAATGCCAGCAGACCTGGTCTCATGTACATCGAGCTGAGATCTAAAAATCCAAACCCCTGCCAGGCACACCAGGCTAAGAGCCAAGTATTAATCCCATCATGTTCAGTGTCTCCTCATTCCCTATAACTGGAGGGATAGAGAACACAACTCGTGCTTCCAAATCCTTGACCAGTCTCCCCAAGGCTCTGAAATCCTTCTTCATAGTCCCTAGGGAAGTTCTTCCTATTTCATCACTGCCTACCTGAAACAGCAATAGGGAATAAACAGGAATAGGGAATAATCCGAGGACTGTATTAGGGAAGGAAATTTCTTCCTTACCTCTTTGAACCTGGGCTCCCAGGAAGCAGCAGACCTCCCTGTGTAGTAGAAAAGTCAGAGAACTTTAATTCCAAGGCTGTGGGGATTGTATGTATTGTATGTATTCACATTCAAGTAGAACTAAGATCATTTCCTCTTTTGTGTCCTATTGAACCAATGATGAGGGAAATCGAGCTAGAACAGAAATAAATAATTTCTAATATCACAAGTATGCCTGACTTCTGATAATTTTCCAGAATTGTGACACCTTCTTAGTGAAACACTTTGGCCACAGATTCATCTATTTTTCTGCTTTGTGTAACATGGTGTTAGTGACTTAGAAAAGTGAGTGTAAACTGATTTACTGCCGGAAATAATGCACAATTGTGTAAATCTCAAATTGTATTCTTTGTTGAATTAGATTAGAATCTGTGACTGTGACCATGAGCATAACGCTGCATTTAATATTGACACATTCCATCATATTCTTCAGTACCTTCTTCTGGGTTTCAAATTGTTCCTTAAAGCTGATTAGTCTTAAATCACTGACCTCTGATATTAGGATTCCACGCAGTAGCAATTACATAGTTATGTTAGTTTCACAATGCTTTGTAATACAATAATGGAACCTATTATGACTTCTCAGTATTTCCAGCATTCTGTAAGAATCTTTTTAACAAAATCCTCCAAAATGTTCTAGATTTCTCTATAATATTTTCTCAAAGAGTTTATTTTGGTAGTGAAAGGAGAAGCTTACGTGTAAGAAACTCCTCAGTTTCACAGCTGTCTGGTTCTGACCCCATTCTGAAGCCCCATTCACATGATGTGAAGTAACTAATGATACTTTCTTTTAGGTCTGAGAATCACTGGAATTTAGACACTTGTCTGTGAACTTTAAGGCTTGAGATAAAGACAAGAAATATAATTGCCTTTTAGTTTAGGTATAAGCTGATTTCTGGCTGATATCAATCCCCTTCCTCTCTTTTGTACTTGTGTACGGTGTGCTATTAGAAGATGAAGTGATGGAATAACTTAAAGCATCACATTTTCAAGAAACAATCTGTCTTAAGTAAATGTAGAAGTGTTTTGTGAATGCTTTCTTTCATACCTAATGAAATATATAGGTGTAATAAGTCATTATGTATAAACAGAGTTAGGTGTACAAATAAGTTACATTTTCTGGAGAGGAGAATTTCTGGACATTTGTTGTGGTTACACAACAGCTGTTGTCAGCTGGTGGCTGAGTACCACGGTCACTCACATGCTATCCCCCCTGCCCAGGGATGGGGAGGCAATCAGGAAAAAACAAAGAAGAACTTGTGCATTGAGATAAAACTATTTACTAAGATAGGGAAAAGGAATATATATATATATATATTTCCTGCATTCATATATATATATATATATATGTAAATGTATATGAATGTATATAAGAAAAGATGCAAAAGCAATTGTTCATCACCTCCTAGCCAATGCCCAGCTAGCCTCCAAGCAGTGAACTCCCACTTCCTTCAAAATTCCTTCCACTTGATGTCATGTGGTAAAGAATATCCCTTTGCCCAGTTTGAGTCAGCTGTCCTAATTCAGTTCTCTCCCAGCTCCGTGGGTTCTTCGCTGTGAATGGCCATGTTCTGTGCAACACTGCTTAGCAGCAACTATAAGTATCAGTGTGCTATCAAAATTGTTTTCTCCTGGAACCAAAACATAGCATCGTACCAGATGCTCCGAAGAAAACAGTTCCCATCCCTGCTGAAATTAAGACATCTTTTGCACCAAAGAAAGCATTTAAACCCAAATACATAAAGATAAATGCTTTATTGTTTCCAAATTTGTTATCTTACTTGCATTTAAGTATCTCTCTGGCTTTACGCTGGTGACACAGCCTGTAAAATGAAGTATCTAAGACGTATAGTTGAATTTTTAATGTTTTTCACCTTTTAGTATTTAAGTGTCTTTTATATATCGAATACCTCTTTTCATATTGACTACAGCATCTCTTTGCCCGTTTCCTTTGCGTCCTTCTGGCTACTCGGAGGTTTGATATTTCAGAAAAAAACTAATCTACAAAATCCCATTAGGGATGTAGTGATGTGCACAGAAAAAGAGGATGCGGAAAACAAACCAAAGGCATGCAAAACAAACAAGCAACAAGCAAGAAATACTGCTTTGTAGGATCTACTTGACTGAATCCTTGATAGTGTTCTGAAAATGAAGTCTAACTTGAGTAATAGTTACAATGGAAAATAATACAATTTGTGGTTCTATATTAATAAATTAATCAAGACATGTTTGGAGGTTGTGCAACTTAATAGATTTTAGAATTTTTAATCATATTTAGAAATGTGTACTTTTTGAAAATCCCCGTTTAAATGGTTTTTTTTTTTCGTTAAGAATGCAGAAATTACTTCTGAGATACTTCTGAAACCGTGATCTCACTGCACTTTCTGACTTCTTTTCTTTGACTTCTGACTTCTTTCTTCAGAAAAGTCACTAGGTGGCGGTAGAACTACAATTTCTCCTAGCTCAGGCTATTCGGGAAAAAACATTGACACTAACAGACAACAATATTTAGACATTTAACATAAGTCTGTAAGGTTCTAAAACAATCCTATATGAAAGTACAATAAATAATATGTCCAAGTGCTTGTTGTTTTCTTTTGATGGTGATTTTTTTCATGTATCTCTGGTGTGCTTTTGCTGATTGTATCTTCTCTCATGTTAATATATCACACATGGAATACAACTTATTCTAATTACTTCTACTGAAACAAAAAATATTGCCCACCTGCTACTACTGCCAGGCTGAGACAGAAACCCAGACAGAAGGAGAACAACTTTCCTAGGCTGATGCGCACTCTCGCACAGAGCTCCAAAGGAGCAACAGAGCAGCCCAGATATTTGCTTGAGGGGAGCTCCAGAATCTGGAAGTCTTCACTAGAGGCCTGAGAGCAGATGGGAGTGTAATGGGTGTAAATGTGCTCAATTCAACAAACTTTTCAAGCAAGTGGTCATGCTAAGAGAGGAATCACCAGTCATAACAATGGAAATCTGAGAGAGAGCTTGATACGTAGTATTGTGCAGTTACTTGGACAAACTGACTGCCCTAAATCCCTGCAAGAGAAAGAAAATAAAGTAGCTTGAGCCCAGCTGAAGTGCCACTGCACCAATGCATGCACCATGGGAAACAGGCTGGAGTTGAAAACCATTGTGCAATTAGAAAGCTGTTACCTAAGCATACTGTATCCTAATACTTTTTTGCATTGTTCCTTTGTTCCTTTCTTCCAGAACTTACTGTGCCATCTCCTTTCTTCTTCTAAATGGGAAAAAAACGAGGCTGAAACCAGTACGTTCATATCAGCTCTTGGCTACACATCAGCAGATTATTATTGTCACTTGGTTGAAAATGTAAGTATTTTGTGCAGTTGAGATTTTGTTATTAATAGCACCAGTTTATAAGCACATACGAGGAGTTGTCAATGTTACAAGGAACATGAAATGAACTTTGCTTATCTTTCTTACTTCAGTTACTTTTACAGCCTTTTAAGGGAGAAAATAAAGTAAATAAAATGAATCTCTGGACAGAATTTTTTTTTTTTTTTTAGAGTATAATAGTAGAGGTTGAGTAGAGGTTGATAAAACATTTTGTTCCTGTTGTAATATGGCCAAAATGTCTGTCCTAACATTCATTTTTTTTCCATCTGAAGTTTAAATGATATATATATATATATTGTACATTAGAACATAAATTTTGAATGTTTTTTTTGACTGCATGCATTGCATTCAAAATAGTAGATGAGCTTTGAATCTTAAGAAAAGTTTCTTTTATTTTTGATATATTGAAAAATCAGGAATAGTATCTGATAATAGACTGAATCAGGTAAAACATCTAAAAATTACTGACTTTCCAAAAGTTTTGCCTCAGCTCTTTGCAAAGCTAAAATAGCTTGTTAGTATGCAAATGTGGAAGGTATAGAATGTGTTCAGAAATGTTTTGAATGGTTTAATGAGTGATCTGGACAGTTTTGATTTGGGCTTGATAACTTAAAAAATTATGATTGAGTCAAAATGAAAAGTTACTTACCTCCACAGAGTATCAGTGATGCAGACAATCACGAAACTAATGTCTGCTTATCTGGAGTATGGTTTTTTTTTCATGTAATTTTTTTTTTTTAACAGATCGTCTCTTCATTAGTAACGGAACTCAGAGGAAGTCAATTTAGTGAACTTAACATTCAGGGGAGGTAAGTGTTATCCAAATATAATTTTGATATGTTTTAATTTCAGTCACTAGTTCAACAAGGGCCTTTTTGTAGTCTTGAGCATGCAAGCAGTTAGGCATCAGCCTGAAAACTTTAATTACTCATGTAGATATTTTCAGATATGAAGAAGCTTATTAAATTATGTTCATGTAAGAATTTAAGCTTACCTGATAATCATCATGTTTACTGCTTAACTTCTTTTAGCCAAACTTGCAGTTACTGTAAGAGCAAAAAAAAAAAAAATTTCAAAGGATTTTTTTGCCTTTGTGTGTAATAGTTTCATATGGCAGAATAATGTTGCATTTGTTTTTAATGACAAAATGTGTCCACGCTCATTTAAAATTAGCTCCCTCATTTTCCTTCGATTATTAGATCTGTTGCCTAGTGCCAAATAGTACTATTGCACTACAGTATGTTACACAAACAGATGTTTTAAATGAACCCAAGCACTTAGTGTCTCCACCTTTTAACTGCTTCCATAACCCTCCTTTCTGAGGAAGAAAGTCTAGGAAAGCGTGTGGGAAGGAAGCTGTGATGTGCTCTGTCCAGATCTCCAATCTTGATTGTCAGGCAGTGCTAACAATTGTCTTGCTGCATTGTATTTTATGTTTCTACACGTCCAGGTGTAGTCAATGAGAAAAATCAGTTTCTTCTTCCACACTATTTAGGTAGAGTAGGTCAAGCCAAAATCTCTGAAAGGGAATTTACCTAACACTACTATTTTGGACATAACTGTTTCTCTCCACTGGCTTTGAAATGCAGATCATAATCTTTATGAATTCTTCAAAAATTATTACACTACATCAGTATCTTTCTGAGTACATGTAAATTCTGTTATTCCAGCTGAGAAAAAAGAAAAAAAAGGAAATGTATGGCCTTGCTGTGTATACTCTCTTGTTCTTCAGACTCAAATCTGCTGACACTGATTAAATGAGTTTTATTACCTATGTAATACCACATAGGCTGTAAAGTTACAGGAAAGAGGAAGGTGTTTGAAAGATCTTCATTGTGTCATATATTCTGTTTTTCTTCTTTGGCTATTTTCCACACTTACCTGGATGTTTCTGTAAATCTATTTTATGAAATTCATTGCACACAGTGGACTGCATTGCACAGTATTTTCCAATAACACACCTATTTTGAAGTTTATGCAGAGAAGGAAAAAACGTATTTGCAAGGTTTTCTTCCAGAATTAAAAGAGTAAAATAAGCAGCTATTTTGCTAATCCTGAATAGAGTTAGAAACAGGATTTTGTAAAGGGGACAGATGTGAAAAGTGCCCAGGGTATGTGAACTTCACATATATAGCTTGGAAAATATTGCTACAGAATAAATATCAGTCCAGTAGTTATCATTCTACAGAATCACTTCTCATAGCAAAACTTTGTCTCAAAGTATTTCAGTATGAAAAATCTTAAGCAAATTTTTTTTATTAGGTACTTAATAAAAAATTGAGTCTTTGAAAACATGTCATCTTTAATTTCTCTCACTGTGAATATCACTATGATTATCTACAAATTGTAGCATTTTTGTCACAGTTAGCTTCTATTGTTCATAAATGACGTTTTAGGCATGTGGTGAGTTGTATTGCTATCTTTTGCTATTTACAAGCATGTGGTTTTAGCAGGTCATGTGAATGGTTCATATATAAAGATTGATAGTCCTTGCTTCCTTCAAGTATTCCTTCAAGTATACATTTGTAAGACAAGTAGTTTTTCTTGAGTACTTAAAGACAGCAGGATTTGTAGTATTTGGTTTATAGTTGTACATTAAGAGAAGAGAGGTCAAGAAAGAAACAGGAGGTGTTGAAAGCATCAAGGCTGTCTCTTCCTAGAATCTAGCAAACTTACACAGGAGCTGTGAAACTGTAGTCTTCTTTACCTCTGCTTTGCTGCTTCCTGGAAGGGACAAAGAATTCTATGCTAGGAAGTCAGTGATTACTAAGCAAATAAAACTGTCTGCACTTCAGAATTGGGCTAATATTCTTCACATGGTATGCCTTGACCACTAAAATATCAAAATTTTATGAGAATTCTAGATAGTATATCATGGTAAGTCAGCAGTTTGTATGTCTTGTTTAATTTAATATTCTGCAATTAATTTAATCTTCCTTTGCCTCGTGGATATAGAAATTAAAGTTTACACTTTTCTAAAATGGGAACCGTTTTTATTTTTCCCTCAGAATTTCAGTCAGTTGTGTGAATGCTGTGTCCCTTTTCTGTCTCCCACTTATTACTTTGCCTGATTTAACTCCATTGCTGGAAACTCTTCTTGTTTACCATGGGGGAGCATCGAAAGAAATTCTCAGCTCAGAGTTCTTGGAGGCTGTGAATGATGCCTTTTTAAAGTAAGTAGTACAGTCCGTATGTTTTTTCTGCTTTTTCTTATAAAGATTATTTATTCAATTCAATGGCTTTTTTTTTGGATTTGAATGCTGAATGCACCATGTATCTCCTGCATAAAAACAAACAAACAAAAAACAACCCTCCTTTGTATTCCAGTGGAAGAACTCAGGTTATTAGCCAAAGTGGAATTTTAAATTGCTGGTGTACAAATTGTGGCATAAGAACTTTAAATATCAACTGAAACGTTGTTACATCATTTCTCTAAAATGGAGAGTAAATTAAATTTTAGGATTTTAGTAAGCTGGTGAAAGGTACTATCAATTTCCATAGAAACATTATTTACCTTTAATGTAAGTGTATCCACATTCCTAACTTAACATTTTGAGAGCCACTTTTAACTTTATTCATAAGATAGAGACTTTTTTGAGTGGTTGAGCGTTTATGAAGATTTTTGATTTTGCTTATTTTCAGCAGATTCTTTTTAATGAGACTTATGAATGCAGTTTTGAAATATAGCTTTGCTTGTTTTGCTATTAGTAATCAACTAATGTATAAGTCATCTGAGTAAAGGTGAACACCAGAAAAATTGCCTATGCTATGAAAGGAAAGATGATTTGATTTATTCAAGTTTTAGCTGAGAAGGATGGTTTTGAGTTTTGTTTTGAGTCAGTTGTAGCGCACCTGTGTCATGTTTGGTCAGCTAGGAAATTCCTCTAAATCCCTACAAATGACACTCTGTCCTTGAGTTAGATGTCCCTGGCATCTTCTGTTTGAATGGAAGTCTTGAGAAATAACTTTCGGAAGTTAGTAACACATAAGTAGTTACATATACGTTACTACATGAAGTAGTAACATATAAGTAACATAGAATGTAGGTACAAGAGTATCAAACTTGTGCAGTGCTGATTATTATAGGACTGACATTATTTTTTGAGAACTTGCAGTCTTTGTGTGTGACAAATAAAAGATTACTTAGCACTAGGAAAACACAACACAAAGCTTTAAAACAAAAAACACAAAAATTGCAAAAAAGCTTTTACGAAGTTGCAATTATGTCTTACAGATTTTTATTTTTTTTTTGGTAATAGAAAGGATCTTTTGTGAACACTTTACTTCAATTATACATGCACATGTCTTTCAAGTCAAAGTTTTAATTGCTCCCTCTGTATTCAACATTATTTTCAAGATGCTCCAATAAAGACTGTTGTATATATTGTTACTCTCCAAGGTTTCCAGCAAACATTGTTAGCGGAAAAAAGACATTTACTGCTTTGTGCATATGTTCCTGGCAGTCAGGGAAAACAAGTGGAAAACAAATGTGAAGATCTGTAATGAAAGATGGGTCCCTAAAAAGGGTAATCTACCTTTTACTTGCCCATTCCATATCTTCAGTCTGTTCCATAAACAGTTATACAGACAAGCACACTGGTTCACCATGGTAGCCACTACTGATGACAGTGAGGTAGCAGGCAGTCAGTTGTGACATACTTTCGCTATTTCATAATTTGAGTATGAATCCTTTAGCTTGTTAGAAAAGGCTTTCCTGATTAAAATAAACATTGCTTTGAGCTCCTTGTTTATCACAGTGAGCAAAAACAATTCATATAGCTTTTGACGGAATGCCTCTTACAGTGCCCCTGACAAAAGTTTCTGGTTTCCTTGATAGCAGATGTAGGCTCACTATTCACTTTTGTAGTATACTCTTGACCTACTCTAAAAGTCATGTGATCTTAATTCATCATAAGATGAATGTTCTGGGTGGCTTTTTTTGATATATATTTTTTTTCCCACTTAAGTTATTAAATTATGTGTTTCTTAACTCTGTCATGTTCTGGAAACAGTTTTATTTCTGAGTTCTGGTAAAGCCTTTTTCAAGAAGTAGGTTCACTGGATGCTAGGGAGAAAATTATAACTCGTTCTCCACAGAACTTAGCATTCTACTGGGACTGTTTGCATGCTCTCTCATTCCTCCCCTATGAAGAAAGACTGAAAGACCTGGGTCTGTTCAGCGTGGAGAAGAAAAGTCTGAGGGGTGATCTTATCAATGTTTATAAATATCTGAAGTATGAAAGTCAAATGGATGGGGCCAGGCTCTTTTCAAGGGTGTACAGCAACAGGACAAGGGACAGTGGGCAACAACTGGAACACAGAAAGTTCTACACAGACATGAGGAAAAGCTTCTTTACTGTGAGGATCAGAGAGCACTGGAACAGGCTTCCCAAAGAATCTGTGGTGTCTTCTCCTGTGGAAATATTCAATACCTGCCTCAAGGCTTTCATGCTCAACCTACTTGTAGGGAACCTGTTTTAGCAGAGAGGTTAATGTGATTCTATTGTAATGACTACAGTTTGCTCCCTGTATGGTTTTTAAATCTTGGAGTTGTAACACCTCTGATACCTTAGATTTCTTTTCTTGATGTTGTATTTATAATATTCATGATGCCACCACAAAAACAATGAACAGAATTGTGATAAAATTAAAAATCTCTTATCATTTTTAATTTAGTCTGATCTGCCTGTTCTTTAATAGTGTTCTTTAATAGTGACTCAAAATATTAATCATACATCATCTTGAAGCAGAACAGTGCTTAAAATTTTTTGAATTCAAAGTATTTTTATATATTTCTTACTACCAACAAAATATAGATTAAATAAGCTATTAGATATTCTTGAGTGAAAAAGGATAGCTTTTCAGTGGAAGTTAGAATTCTAAAGGCTGTAAAATTGCCTAGAACCTTCCTGCTGACCTGCCAGCTGCTGATGCTCTCTGAGCAGACAGGTCTGTGGGAAGCAGTCTGGGTGTGTAAGAAAGTGGGCATGGAGTAAAACCTTTCTCTGGAGTGTAAGAGAATTACAGCCTCAAATACTTTGCTTCCATTTGTTGGGATCTCCCATGATTGAGTTCATCATTTTTAAAGATGTGTAGAGAGATTTAATTTTTAGGTAATGGTGATTCCATGTTACTTTTTGCCTTCGTTATTTTATACCAAATAAAGTACTGCAAACAAGATTTTCTCTTTTACTGCAAGTTGATCTTCTTTTTCCCAAGTGTGTTTAAAAGAAAGAAAGAAAGAAAAAAATAAAATGAATATTTCTGTGTGTCTTCCATTTCCTTATGGTAAAAACAATTATTTTTCTCTTTAAACCAGGAAGAAGATCTCCCTTTCCGAATCAGCTATCTTCAGCCTCTGGCATCGTCACTTACCAAGCCTTGAAAATGCTACATTAAGTCTTTTTGACCAGCTGATATCCCTTCAGATAAATTCTTTGGAAAAAGTGGCTTGTGTCATAAAAGATTCACGTCTGGTATGTACAACACCATACTACGTTTGATACTGCTCTTTCAGGCTTAATAAGAGGCCATTTTTTAAATATGTCAGCATCTTCGAGAGAAGTGGTCTGTGACATGGCGTAAAGCTTCCTTTGTCTGTCAATAACTGCATTAATTACTAGAAGCAAATTTTGATTCTTGTCCATTTCAGTAATTTTTTTTTTTTTTACTGTAGTAGTTTTTGCAACAAACTAACTGAGAGCAAAGAAGAGCTTCATTCAGTGATGAAAAACATATAGAGAAATTGAGAATCCAGTTGATGTCAGTACTTAGTACCTGTCTGTATTTAAAAATTACAGACTTTTTCTAGGGAGGATTTTTACTTCAATCTCTGTGCCCTTGGGAGTACAACAGTTTAAGCAATTAAATTGCCTGTAGATTACTTCATTATGGACTGCTTGCTTAGCTACTTAGTTTTGTTTGCAGATCTGAACAAAGCTCTTAATATAAAACATTTTCTAAACTGTAATTAGAGCTAGTTAGTTTGTTTTAAAATGCCATGTTACTCAGTTCACCAAAAATCTAATTTCTTACTGGAAAACATAATAACACAGTGCATCTTCCAAAATAATGAGCCTGGCCTGAGTTGTGTTGTCTGAGCTTCGAGGTGTCCCAGAAGACAACTCTTACATGCAAGGCCTGTGTGTTGTTTCTGTATTAAATACACTGTGAGTTGAATACAATGCATGATACCACAGATGGTGGAGAAAAAATAATCTATGTTAAAATATAAAAGAAATATAAAAGGAAACAAAATGTTTTAATTTTTGGTTAATTGTTGTTTGTTAATGATTTTCATTTCATTTTCTTATTTACATTTTTTTCACAAAGTTTCCACAAAGGAATGAAATCTTCTGTACTAGCACAGTTTGACTGTGTGTGTTTGCCTCTGCTCCAGAGGCGTTAGGTGCCTTCAAAAGAAAGCATTCAGAAAGAGGAAAGACCAGTGCAGCAGCTTTGAATGCTGGTTTGCAGAGGACATCCTGTGGACAAGGAGTGGAATGAAAGGAAGCATAAAGACCAGTGCAGTTAGATGATACTGCTTTTTGGTGGAAGCTGACAAGAGATAGAGTGTGTAAGGGATAGAGTGTGTAAGGGAGAGATGGCTTAACAGTTGAAAACTAAGAAGCTTCAAAGATGTAAAGAGGGAAGTGATTGGATCCAGAAATTATAATCTGAAATTCTAATGATATTCTGTAAAACTTATGCACCGATCTATGAAGATACTTCTCTGTTCGACCAGTCAGCACCTTGAATCCAACAGCCTGCCTAAAAAACAGGAATATTTATTTAGTAGTATGAATTAACATGTTTTGACAGTTGGATTATGGTATTTGTAAGATGCAGCCTCTTTTAACCTCTTTTTAAATAGATATAGTAATTAAAAAGTGGTGAAGTGAAACACAAATTGATTGATTTTGATGTTTCTTCCATTTGCAATAAAATCTTTTGAATGCAAATAAGCAATTACTGTTTTGATTAGAGAATACTGTGAGATAGAAAAACCACTAACCCATTTCATAATTGCATTGTCAGAGACATTTACCTAAACAAAATGTTTTGAAATAGCAACCAAGCAATATATAAACTTTATAAGACCTATACTATTCAAATGGTTGCAAACTACTGTACCTTTTTTGAAAGAAACTTGATATGCAGTATTTTTTTATTTTAATTTGAGGATTATTATAGTGTGATGATCCACTAACTTGTGTTTAATGAGGAAAGCCATTAGGCTTGTGTTTTCCTAGACTTAACTGGAATTAATATTAGAATTTGTACATCTGTTTAGAAACAACAAAAACAAGAGGTGATTACTACAAATTTTCTTTTAGTCTCTCCAGAATTTGGCATGTCTTCCTTTCTGAAGCAACACTGAAGTTTGTGTGTTCAAGTTAACAACTAATATTTAGCAGAATCTTGCAGTTTACTAGAAGTGTAAAAATATGTATGTGAAGTGATTTCTAAACTCATTTTTGTAAACAAATATGTCAACAAATCAGTGTTACTTACAGTTTATGTTCGATTCTTAGATAGCCTTCCTGAGTAATTTTATTATGTTCAAAGTCATGTTGCAAGAAAATCCTACCCCAGTACAGCTAATAGAGAGGCTTAGTATTTTCAGCTTTGCCTTTGTAAGTCATCTGTAATTGCTGTGTTTTGTTTTCCCACATTACCCACTTTCGCAATAGATAGAGAGAAGTATATTGTGCTCTATACTGAAAGCTCTAACTCTGGAGCCTTCCTTGCTGTTGTTGCTCCTATGCCCTTGAACTCTCCTTGTGCTTTGCCTTATCCACAGGTTCTGAGTGTGCCTGGATCCATACTTACCTTTTGTTGGCAGCTGTGCAAATCAAATAAGTATTAAAGAGGGAAAAGGAAAATGGGTAGAGAGAGAAAATGAAAAGCTTGGGTTGTTTTCTTTTTCCTAATTCAGTCCAGCTAAATTAATTAGTTTCCTCAGTGTTGCCTGTCTTCAAAACCTGTATCATTATGGTAAAATGTTTGAAGTAGTTCCCACTAATTTATTTGTAATTTTGATGAATTCAAGAGGCGTTAAAATAAAATACATATGTATATGTAAAAAGATATTTGTGCTTTCAAAATAACTGTATGCTTCAAAATTAAAATATGTCAGGCACAATGTATAAGAAAAAAATAAGTGATTCTTCTCATTTGTTTACATTTTTAAGTTTAAAATTCAGGAATGTTGGTAAATATAAAAATTGGAAGAAAAACATTTTAAATGCAGCAGTGTGTTAGGAAGACAAGAGAACTGGTACTTGTGTTACCACCTCAAATCTTTTACTGTGTGATCTTGGGTACAGTTTGTTTCCTCATGCCTACTTGGCTTTGTTACAATAGAGTCTGTGATTACTAGTATATTCCTCTATATCCCATGTACATGCATCCTGCAGATGCAAATCCATTTTTCTTATTTCTTCATTCAGTACTGGTTTTGTATCACATGGGCTGTTCACAATTCTTCTTTCAGCTGATGCAGATAGTAGAGAGAAAGTACTGTAGTTTTATAGAACTTGTGTATATAGTATTTCATGTCTTTTCTTATTTTCTTTTAAAAACCACATTATTTTCAAGTGAGGTGGTTTTCTGAAGTGCTCGCACATGCAGTTCCATTTCCCTGTGTTTGGATTTTCTGAATTGTTGTGTTGTATGAAATATGTGTACTTGAAAAGAGGTGGAACAGGCTCCCAGTTGAGATTAGTTTTTGTGCACTTTTTCTGAAAATAAAAAAGCATTGTCACAGATGGGATTATAAAATTATAATAAACTATTATTAGTGCGGGAAAAATAGAAGAAAAAAAAAAAAAAGAAGAGAGATTGTTAAAAACTGGAAGCTCTATGAGAAACCCTCCCAAACTCAAGAATTTCTTCCTGCTGTCTTCTATAGCAAGGCATGCTATACCAAAGGCACAGCTTCAGATTGCCTTGGAGACTGTTATGCTATGATAATATTCTTATTTTGAGTACTTTCAAATAAATTGCACAGAATGCATTGATCAAAATCTTGTGATATGAGGCTACTTTTCTTTTGCTTTCAAATTCCAGTGATGAAATCCTTTATTTCAGTAGTATTCATGTATAGGAACAGTAGAGGAAACTACTGATAGTGTTTTCTTGTAGTGATTATTGTTGATTGCTGCTGTATGGGTGGAAAATGTGAAAAACTTTTTGTTGTTCCATAGAACACTTTTATTTTGGTCTTCTCCTAAAGAACTGTGGTTTGATCTTAATATGCATGGCTGGTTGATCAATTACCAGTCTTAGGCAACAGTGACTTTGTGTGTTAAAGACTGAATATATGAAAAGGTAGCAGAGAACTAACTGAATTTAACTCACAGGACTGGTAGAACATTGTTTTCACTCCCCACTGTTTCCAGAAAGTGTTAGAAGTTGGAAAGGACCTATGGAAGTTGTCTGGTCCAGGTTTTCCTCTGGCACGGTGGAATTTTTGAGTCCAATCTTGTAACCAGCTGCCTACTGTTTATCCTGTCTAAGCAACCAACTGTAAATACTCTCAAACACTAGGTGGCACACGTTCAATGGGACAATTTAGCTACAGCCGGGTCACAGAGAGAAAGTAAGGTAAAACATGAAAACAAGATGCCCTCTGGTATTTACAGTGTGCTAAGACAGCCATGACAAAAAAGCTGTTCTTTTAAAAGGTCTTCTAAGTAGTTTCTATTAAAGTTTGTCTCTTAATTTCTGAGATTATTATCTCAGATAAAAGTCCTCATTCTGCCTATGTTTAATTAAATAGAAAATTCTTATGAGCTTGAAACAGATGCAGACCAAGTTTGAGATGGTGCTTCAGACACTCAGACCTGTTAACAATAAAGATATGTAAATACTGTTCCTTCCACATATTCTAAAATCTATAAAATGCTTTCTGTTAGACACGCATCATTCCAAATTGTTCAGGAATTATGTTCTCATCAGATCTTCCAGTGCTAATTTCAGAAACATGAAACGTTTACTTGTTCTTATGTTTTGTTTCGTTTTTAACATAGGCTATGTGTGTAAATAGTTACTTAATCTTGGTGCTATATTTATATCTTAGAATTTAGGAGTATGAGATTAGAAAGTAGTGTGTTTACAAGAACATGTTTAAAATGACTTTCTTTAAACAGTCTTTTGTGTCATATTACCATGAACACAAAAAGCTTCCCTAATTTAAAAAAAATATATAGAATTTGATATACTGAGATAATAACCTTAGCAACTCTGCAATTCACAGAAGAGCATAGTAGCTGAAGAAATGATCTTAGACCAAAATACACCTGGCATTGTTAAAGGCAAGGAAATAAATTTAATTTCTGGAATTTTTTTCTGAAGGTGTACCGAGAACCTCTAAGCATACCTGAAAGGGATTGTCTGTAAGGGGAAGAGGAAAGCTGCTTGTAAACCTGTCTGTGTCTCTTGCCTCCAGCAATTGCACACAAGAGCCTCTTTTGTTTCTTCTACCACTCTTCCTATTTTTAGTGCTTGCTGTCATAAACAGTTTGTAGCCCAGGTGTTGTGCTTGTTTGCTGCTCAGCCTGCTTGGTGTCAGTGTGGCTCCCTACCTGTGATTTTGAAAAATCTAATCTTGAGAAAATCTGATAGATTTTATTTGAGATTTACGATTTGTTAATTGCAGCATAATTTTATCCATGAGTTAAGCCATAAAATATGTAGTGACAGTTGTTTGAGTTGCTGCTTTTTAATGACTAATTTCCTTCCATTTGTTTACAAACAGACACAAGCTGCAAGCCACCCTGCCATTTTTAGAATTGTTAACGAAATCTTCAAGTAAGTTTTGAAATTATAGTGGGAAATGTACACCAGGTTTTTTTTTTCCATGAAAATATGTAGTATTATAATTTCTGGGTGTCATATTCTGTAGCTGAGTGCTTCAGGGTACTCCTCTGTGTAATATACTGCAAATAATAGTAAATGTTAAAAGTCCTGAGAACTTTATTTGAAACATAGAATATAATAATTATTGATAAAATTGACTACATTGTATTTTACCTTCAGAAGTTCAAAGTGATTTTCCAATTCAGTAGAGACTAATGGTTGAAACACTATTTAGATATGAAAGCTATAAACAATCTGTGATAGCTTGGCTCATGCCAGCATGCACATGCAGTGTAGCTATAATATTTCTGCTTACCAGCATGGCCTCTTTTTTTATTATGTTATTAATCCTCAGGATTTAGATCAGATATGCTCTTATTTGCACTAAATTACAGACCTGCCTATTCAATGAGTTCATGTTTGAATGTGTCATGTTATTTTGAAGCTATATATGTTGTTCACCACATGGGGGCTTCCAATCCTTTGTAGTTTCAGTGGAGTTTTCCCTTTGCTTGTATTTCTTCTTATTTTACCATTCTTTTAAAGACTGTCTGCTGCTATGGTAATCAGCCTGAGATGCATTATTGTTGTATCAAATCTAAGAAGAAAGTCATAATTTTGCTGGAGTGTCTTCAGCCTTCTTGGAGTCCCATTTGTTTCTGTAGTTTGTGTTCATTTTTTTCCCTGTGCTATCCCTCCAACTTTTACCAAGTGCTACGTAGGAGTGAACACACTGCTGCAGATGTAGTCACGTCTAGGAATTTAGAAAGCTCTTGAAAAATGACTTTTATTATACTGCTTGGAGATTGTATTATGTACCCACACCTGGAATAAAATTTATTTTATTGGAAGGTATGGAGGGGAGTGAGGGCCGAGGGCAGAGTGGGGCAGGGGGAGCCCTAAAACTCTTTTAGAAACATGTATCTAAAACTTATGTCTCTTTCATTTAATAGCTTTTCCTATTCTTTATCTAATTGTGCTAAATTGTTTTATCTCATAAATATTAACTTGTTTCCCCAAGTAGAAGCACATTTTGTTCTGTACAGCTTTATAGTCCATTCCATACTCTTAGTTTGAGTTTGTGTACTATTTCTTATATTTAAAATGCCCAAAGTTTTATGAAATTTCTGAATTACAGTAGTATGTTCGTTGTTCTCATCCTTTTGATCATTATCGAAAAAAATAAACAAATCTAACAAAAAATACCCAACCCTATGAAATCTCAGCAGCAACTTACTTTGAACTTTTTTCCTTGGCTTTCCACATTGTTCAAAGATGAGAATGAAAATTGCTCTTGGCTGCCCATGTACTTTTGTCTTCCACTTGTGGACTGGTTGCATTATTGCATATTAATATTATTATTATGCCAGTTAAAGCATTCACCTACCTGAACCATCAGAATAGATTTGATGATTTGATCCATGAAAGCACTTTGGAATGCATTAATCTGTAATGAAATCTGCACTAATTATGGATCTAGTGTGCCTTTGGTACATAGTTATTTCTGTTTGTGCTGATTTACTGATGGCGTTCACTAAGGATTCACAGTGATTGACTGGCATCTGTATTATTTGATATTAAAATTTGATCTCCTTCTGTAATTTTTAATCTATGGAACTTTTAGATTTCTTCTTTTCCCTGACTACGTTAAGAGTGCACTATTTAACAACTTGTCAGGACATACATATGTATACTTTATGCTCAAGGTAGAATATTCCAGATTATAATTTCACTCTGACATGGCTGTGAATGCCTTCCATCAAAGCACTTAGATATGTAGGTGTGGGAATGTGTGCATTCAGCCAACTGTTCTAATACCAGTTTTACCTAAGAATGTTGTGATAGTCTGATTTTTAATTTTATCCTTTTTCATTTATTGTTAGGGTAAATTATATGCATCTTTTGTATACTGTGTGTACATAATAAATCCAGAGTATTTGTAAATGTTGCATATAATTTATTTTAAAAAAAGAACAAAACCCATTGCAGGGTTAGTACTTCTGACATAATTAATGTGGTGAGCTCAGGCACAGGTTGAAGCTAGAGCATGGAAAGAATGTTCCTTTTTTTCTTCCTTTCATTAACACTGCTACAGTTGGCAGACAAATTATCTAATCTGTCATAATCTAACTTTCCAATCTCAGGAATGTGCTGTTGGAAACTGATGGAGCTCCTGAAGTTATGACCATAATACAAGTATTTATACAGCTCTTCATTCAGGTTCAGCAGAATGAAAACAAGCAGGTTAGTCAAGATCTTCTTAATGTTTCTTTTCAGTGAAAGAATGATAACTGATAAGAATGGTCACTGAATAGTACTGTCTTCCCATGATTGTACATATATGCCAAATTTCAGCTCAGACATTTTTACTTGTAAATAGAAATACAGTATGAAACCAGTATACCAGAGAAATTTACCTGAACTTATCCTGGAATAATTCTACAACCTAAACTATAATTTTCTCAGGGGCAGTTAAATTGTTACAGTGTGCTTGTATGTTTTTTTTCATGCATCTCTGACAGAAAAGACAAAAAACTTTGGAGCTTTTCTTTTGCAGTAGCAGAGTTCTTGAGAATAAACAAAACAGATGTAATAAGCCCAACCCTATCTTTGGCCTGCTCTGTTGTCTGCTCTTTGCATCACCATCCAATTTCTGGCCTTCAGTGGTGGCCACTCAGAAAAGTTTCCTCAGTTTAAAGCTTCAAATTCCCCAGCTCAGCATCTTTTCTTTTGCACAGGCTTTTACATTGCTCATACTGAACTGAACTAAGTAGATAATTTTTTGTATGTATGACTTAAACCAACAACAGGTTCAGCTTCTCACTTTTAAAATTTAAAATAGGAGATATAGAAGGGTTTTGTTCTGTCTATGGGTAACAAACTTCTTGTTAAGTTTCTTAGATCACGCTGCAACTTCACATGTTAATCATGCTGTCTCCTTTGTTTTCTTTTAACTCCAATGCCTATGTTGTAAGTTTGAAAATTATCATTTATTACTTTTTGTTGTAGAGTTAAGGAAATTTTCCATTCCTTAGAGTTTTGCAACTTCTTGGGGAGATGGTAGTTAAGAAAATTCGGGCCTTCGTGTGGGAACATGTGATGTACTGACCTTTAATAACCATCGTGACTGAATCTATCATCTTCTATCTTCAGGCAATATGAGTTAAGGATGAAACTGCAGCTGTCTTGCTTAATACGTAGGTGCTGTGTATGTTAATTTTATGCCACCCTGGTTGCATTTGGCAGCAGCACATTGTGTAGCCTCAGGCTTGGGTGACTGGGTGAAGAAAACAAGTAAAGATCCCACACCCACCAGACACCCAAGGGCTAATCTTGTTGTGCAGGTGATGTGTTTGCTTCATGGTGAAAAGTCCTTCATCTACTGACATTACAGTGTGGGTTATTGCCTGTTTCTCTGAAAGTGGTTTTAAATGTTTTCCCTATTTGAATCTTATACAGTTTAATTTATGAGGGTTTAGTTAAGATGCTTTCTTCAGTATTATGATTTAAAAATCCCTTGTTTCATGTAAAGTAAACTTATAGTTGGCACAAAAATGTGCTAGCAGATTACTTCCTAAACTTGATTTAAATCAGTCTGTATTTTTTGTCTTACTAATATTATGTGTATACATAAGACACCCATCTTTGTCCATCCTCTTTTCTGGATCAATGACATAATTTCCTCCCTTACTTTTCTTTGGAGAATGGTAAAACTGTTAATGACAGAGAATGAAGAAGACTGTGGCTAGGTCATCTGAAGTCCTAAGCATTTTGAGTAGAATTAATTGAAAAAAGGCTACATGAATAGAATTGTACAAAAAGAATGCTTTGAAGAACCAAGTCATGTCTGACAGCTGCACAGGTTTAGAAGATAGCAGGAGAATGATCCCCTTTTCCTACGTGGTACTGTCAGAACTTGCCGGTTTTTCTAAAAACTTTGTAGACTGTACTGGGATCCACTGTTGGGATGATCCTCTTTGTGCTTGGTAGAAGCAGATTTCCTTCAAGTTTGTGATGGTAGCAAAGGCTGGCTTAAAGATTTTGGGTCAGGTTAGTTATAAATTTATGAACTTAAAGCTCATGTTTTTATTTAATGGAAATGTTTTTTTTCCAGGGTTGTTTTGCATTAGGGCTGTAAGTGGTTTTCACCTCAGAATGTTGTTTTAGGTAGCTAGATAAAAATTTTATGACAGTCTCCAACTTTTATCTCCTGTTTTACATCATGGCAGTTGGTATAATCAGCCACTTCCAAACAAGTTTGGGATGTTAGTTAGGGCAGTATGGTTTGATTGTGTTTGGACTTGATGATTTTGAAGGTCTTTTCCAACCTGAGCAATTCTATGATTTTATGATTCTAAGTTCTGTCCCTTGGTACCTTGTTCAGCAATTTGTGATGGTTGATTCAAGAAAAGATCTACCTAAACTACTGTGTATGTATTATAGGAAGCAAAAATGTTTTTCTTTGCTTAAACCAAATACTGAAACTGATTTTCACATCCTTTACAGTACTTTCATAAGTTTCATATGCAACTTATGCTGTGAGTTGTCTTGGCTACTAATAACTGTGTCAAGGGCTGCTTTTTCAAGGGGATTTTTGATTCAAGCTAATTGACTGCATGCATACTTTAATATAGGGATTATTATTTTCTAATTAACCTAGTTCCACCTGATAAGTAGACTTCTAGCCTTACCATGTTGGTGATACACTGGCTAGGATTACTGTGTATATTACTGTGCTATAATTTCAATTAATTATTGTTTACAGAACAAAAAAATGAGTAGAGAGGGAATGTATCATTCTATTTATTTATAAGCTACATACAAGTATTTCATACATCGAGTATGTTTACCCAAACTGAAAGTGGTCTTCCTTGGGTTTAGAAGGATGTCACATTCTATGGTCCATATTCCTACTCTGTGTTTCAAGAGTTGATCTGTTTTACTGGCTATTCTCTTACTCCAAAAGGAAGGATACAGTTCTAAGGTATGGACACTTGAATCACGAACTAGGTGGAAGGGATCTCTAAAAGTCATCTGGACCCAAGCCCTTCCAAGCCCTTTGTTCATACAGGGCCACCTACAGCAGGTCTGCACAAGACCATATCCAAACTGCTTATAATATCTCCAAGGACCTTTGTAGTGAAAAGAGTTTCTTAATGTTCAGATAAACCCATTTGTGTTCCAGTTTGTGCCCATTGCCTCTTATCCTGTCACTTCTTTGCACCCTCCTGTCAGGTGTTTGTAGACACAAAGTTGAATCTGAGCCAGCAGTGTGTCCTGGCAGCTTAAAGGGCAACTGTACCCTGGCATGCAGCAGGCCCAGCACTGCCAGTGGTTGAGGAGGAGAGATTGTCCCTCTCTGCTGTGCTTTGTGGCCTCACCTCCAGCACTGGGTGCAGCTTTGGGTGTCACATCAGAAAGGGGACATAAAACTGTACAGAGGGTCCAAAGGAGGACCGTGAAGATGGTGAAGAGTCTGAGGGCAAGGTGTGTGAGGAGCGGCTGAGGTCTCTGGGTGCGTTCAGCCCAGAGCAGGGCAGGCTGAGGGGAAGCCTGATGGCGGCTGCAGCTCCTCGCAGGGAGCGGAGGGGCAGCGCTGAGCTCCGCTCTGTGTGACAGCGGCAGGGCCGAGGGAACGGCATGGAGCTGCGTGAGGGGTGGGCAGCTGGGGGCTGGGGACAGTTCTGCACCACAGGGCTGTGGGCATGGGACGGGCTGCACAGGGCTGTGGGCACGGCCCCAGGTTGTCAGAGTTCAAGAAACATTTGGACACCTCTTTTAGATATATTGTTTGAATGTTGGGTGGTGCTGTGTGAAACCAGAAGTTGGACTTGATGATCCTTGTGGGTCCCTTCCAACTCAATATATTTTTGATTGTAAGATCCCTTGAGTGATCTGCAGGATGATCAGTCTCCTCCAATCCTTGATCATCCTGGTGGTCTTACACTGTTCCAGTATCTCCAGGTCTCTTGTACTGTGGGGCCCAGTACTGGACCCTGTGCTCCAGGTGCAGCTTCAGCAGTGCTAAGTGTGAGGATTATCTCTCTTGGCCTGCTGGCAATACTTTGCCTAGTGCCGCCAAGAATAACGTTACCCTTCTTAGTGATGAGGACACCCAGTCAACTCATGTTCAACTCGGTGTTCCCTGGAACCGTGGGTCCTTCTTTGTAGAGCTGCTTTCTATCTGGGTGGCCCCCAGCATGTCCTGGTGCCTCAGATTGTTCCTCTCTGAGTTGACAGGACTTTGCACTTTTCCTTGATGAACTTCTTGTGGTTCCTGTTCTCCAGCCTCTGGATGGCAGCATGACCCCCTGATGTATCCATGACTACTCCCACTTTTGTGTCATCAAATAAACCTGCTGTTGCACACTGCCCCATCATTCAGATTGTTAATGAAGGTGTTAAACTGGATCAAACCTAGGGTACACTGCTGGTTTTGGTCTCCAGCTTGACAGTCATCATCACCCTCTAGGCCTGGGTGTTCAGCCAGGTTTCAATCCACCTCAAATGGAGTTCATACTGTACTTGCACATTCATGCTGTACCTTGGACATGCCTGTATTAGATGTTTACAGAACAAAAAGATTAAAGGTATGCTGCTGTTAATCTAACGATTACACAAGCAGCTATGTGCTCATCATCTGAATTGCAAAAACTCAGATAAATAGAGGACTGGTTTGTTATCTGCGATGACCCTACCTTGTACTGAGTTGCATCCTAAGAATTTTGCTTTTCCATTTTTAAACAAGCAATAATCTACATTACACTCATATGTTGCTGATATTACTAATTCTTAGTTTGATGTGGTCCATAAGCCTGTTTACAGCCAAAAATGAAATTGAACTATCATCTATTTTTGCCTTTGTGTATTAAGAATGAGGACATTCGTGATTGCAGGAAAAAGCCTATTAATGGGATTAGGTTATATCTTAATACCTTAGTATTAAAATATAATTTTATTCACAGTTTTAAGTCATTTTTAATGCACGTATTTAAAAAAAAATCTATAAGCAATCCATAAATAATTTTTAACAGTTTTTCATAGGTATCTCTCTTTCTTTGTATATATCTTAAAATTAAGTGTAGAATTACTTCTGTTCTCTTGCTTCAGACTGTGTTGCTGGTTACTGTGTTAGATGAAATTGTTTGCTATGGGCTTGTTTTGAAATCTGACCAGAAAGTTCTTAAAATAATAATTTTTTATCCTAGCATAAATTTCCTCTGAAGGCCTACTTCCCTCACCATCACCAGCCTCTTGTAATAGCTTTACTAAGACGCCCTTTTGGTAAGTTTCTTCAGGACACATGTGCAGCATTGTCTAACTTGCATTGTCTTTATATGTGTTAAATAACTTTAGAAAGGACTAAGACTAAATTTTGCCACTTCCTAAACTGGGTGTTTTAGTGTAGCAACTTAAATAATGTTATTTTATTGCATTTTTTAATAGAAACATCTAATTATTTCATGACTATAACACAGATATAGCTTTAAAGAAAACTATAAGACAAAAAAACAAAGACAGCATGCATTACTTTTTGTATTAACTATGACATTAGGAATTAAGACAAGATATGAAAGAGTCAAGGCATACTAAATCATTAATTGTGATTATATGCCATATATGTACAAAAATTCTCTATTGCTTTGTTGTTTGTCTCCAAATAGGAGAAGCTTAAGTTCTGCTGTTTAAGTTCTGCAAACTTAACTTTCTTTTTCTTTTTTTTTCTTTTTTTTTTTTTTTTAGATTTTCCATTTAGATAATCACAAAAATACTGCTCAGTGTTGAGCAGTTTTTCATGAGCAATAACTTCTGCTCCACTCACAGTCTGTTAATATTGAGGTAGAATTTACACAAAGATACATCAGCCTTATTCAAAGAGTATCTCTAACTGTAATTTCTCACATGGCTCTGTCAATTGTTCTAAGAATCACAGTTCTTAGTTCTTTCAATAGTTATTGAAAACTGGAATATTTTAAGAGGAAATTTTAATTCCTTGATGATAATTGAATCAAAATAAAGCCAAAAGCTTTATTATATTATTTATACATATTATATATGATATATGATATATTATATATTATTTATATATATTACGTATTATATATTACATATTATACATAGTATATTATATATTATGTATTATGTATTATATATTATACTATAATAAAAAATATATATATTTATATATATTAGTGTGTTCAATTTTATTGTTCTTTTCTAGTTGGACAGCAACTTTTCAACATAAAAAGTGAAAAGCCATCTTCTAAGACTTTTATTTTCATTCTTCCTCCTCAGAATTGCCATCTACACACTGGCTGCAGCATTTGAAACATATTTCAGATATGCTCAAGTCTATAGTAGAAGATACAAACATTAGGTAAGCAGTATTTCTAGCTTTTTGTCATTTGAATGTGTTACATTTTGTGAAGTCATGTCATCTGATGTCATCTGAAACGACCACATCTCATCAAGTCTATATTCTTCTGCTAAATTTAGCTTTGTTGTAAAGTCTAGCTCTTATGTTACTTACTGAACAAGAACTTTGTAGCATCTATGCAACTGGGCAATATGCCCCTGACTAAAAAAAAAAACAAAACCTTTTTCCTTAAATTTCTGCAAACAGCTAGCTGTAACAGAAATACTTACCTACCTACTCTGCCACTTCTCCCATTAAACTTTAAAACTGATTCAGGATTGCATTTCAATTCTGTTTAACCAGAACTTTGAAAAGCCATTTTCATGTCCAGAATGGGTCCAATGCAAAGTTATCAACCAGAACTTTTCCTTAGTAATGCCATTACCTGTTCTTTGTCTGTAGGATGCAGTATCCTAAAGACACTTAAAATGAGCCAGTTTTGGCTCATTAAAACATCACAAGTAAAGTCCTGAAGAAGTACTGTGAGAATATGCATGGAAAGGATCATCAGGTGGAAAGACAGAGGCCATATTATGAGCTGGAGGAGAGGGAGATGAGAATATTGGTTGGAAAGCTGATATGATATTTCCCCCTTTTTTTTTTAGTGTAACAGGAAAATATTTCCACTGAAAAAGCAGCTAATTTTGGAAAGAGCCTTTTGTATATGGCCTGTTTTATGTATGAGGTTGTACAGAGTTTCTGAAAGCTTGTACGAACATCCAAACTTTCTGATTTTATTCATGAAGATATTTCAGTGTTTGTTATGTTGCTCTTTGATCTGACACCCCGTGTTTGTGACCTGTTGCCCTTTGGTGTTTGTTTGTTTTCTAAATAGTCACTGTAATGAATGATTGTGCTTGTTTAGGTGAATTCTGCTTTGGTAGTAGATATTCCAGAACTATACAGAAAGAATGAAAAAATGATATCTGTATAGATCTGGTTCAAGAGTGAGCATTCCAAAAGAATATTAAACAGCTTTTAAATTTCCAGGAACCAGTTTCATTTTGATTTTAAAAATTCTTAATAGACACATACAATACCTGGGTCATATAGATTCTGAAAGGCAGATCCTTGAATCCACACTTTGTTTCGGTCAATGTGTGAAGGCTTTTATTTTTGTTGTTGTCAAAAAAAAAAATAAAACCTTTTTGCTGCTCTCTCTGAGGCCTGGCTGTCTGGTGCCTTTTCTTGCTTTCTGTATGAACTGCAGCTCAGTGCTGTGTCTTGTCTATTCTGCACTGAAGTCTGTCAAATGTTTTTGTCCTTGAAGTTGACCAGTGGCTGACCCCGGTTTCTTAAAAATATGTAACTCAGAACAAATAAGATAGCATTTGCCATAGTGTATTACAGTAAAAGAAGCATGTCTCTTTTCCTTTGCTCCCTAGCCTGTTACTGGCTTATATTGTCATTTCATCTCCTTTGCTTTGTTAATTTATTAATACAAATACAAATACAAAATAGTGTTGTACTTGCCAGAATATCTTCTTACTTCCTTTAGAATACATGCAACAATTATTTTTTCTCCAAAATCCCATTCGGCTGGCAAGAAAACAGATCTGACTAAGTTCTTAAGCACCAATATCAACAAGGAACTGTATTTAATTTTCATTCATTGCTTTATTCCTGATTCTATATCCTTTCTACTTAATAAGATTAACAGAGGAGCAAAAATAGCTACTGCATAGCATATCCTTTTGTCTCATAGTCACTACTCTATTTTTAAGGTGCTCTCATTTTCCACTGATTTTGTTTTTCACCAAATACTAAGCGTTACAGCAAAAATCTTTCTGTCCTCTTCTAATGAACAGATTGCTTCATGTTTAGGAACATGATTTAGAGGTGGGATGTTAGAGTATTGTGGTTAGGTTGTGGTTGGACTTGATGACCTTGAAGGTGTTTTCCTACGTAAGCAATTCTATGATTCTATGTTCAATTATTTTTATTACCGTTAGTCATCTCAGTAAACTACTAATGTTATGTGATATTTTAAAACAAATTGAACTTACACAAGGTTGGAAGAAAATAATGTCCCAGAAAAAGTGAGCCACAATAGAGTGGTTGACATGGTTGCCACTACAGAATGGGCAGAAATTGTAAGGGGGACAAAAGTGAAAGTTACATGACCCTAGACCAGACGCTGTCATGCTACAGGAAAGTCATGGTGACTGTATGCTTAGTGGTGTCTAAACTATCTAGGAAAAATAAGATTCTGTTCTGCTTAGTAGCTGTTAAAAGCTTTACATATATCTAAGGACATATATTTACCATTTGAGCTATGAATGCTTTTAGTCATAAATACTGCCAGTATTACCCATAATTGTCTTGCAGTAATAATTTTTTAACTAATTTTTTTGTTTGATTGGGTTTCGGACCTAACCTATCCACTTATATTGTCACAACATTGAATTATGGTCAGATAAGTAGTTTATTTTGCTGAATGGAAGACTTGTTGTCCTAGATCACTATCTAGGTTTTGTTTTATTTTTCAAAGGTTTCTATGTTGCATTTGTAGATTCTAATAACTTCAAAGACTTTAGCAGTGCTGATCCTGTTCCTTTACCTAAGGAATTTTAGTCTCATATTTTGTCATAGATCTGTAGTTCTTTACTGTTAGGGACATGCTGCCACCCTCCAAAAGTTGTGGAATATTGACAATGGTGTCAACTGTATCAGTTAATTCAGTTTTTCTGCCAATTTTATATCAAATTCTTATGTGTGATGTCAGTGGTCAAGTTTGTCAGAATATAATAATGCAGTAGATTTGTGTACTAAGAATTGGATTTTGACACCCTGGGATTCTGTGATACATAGAGATTATCATTTACAGAGTCAATAAGTTCTGTGCTACCCATAAACAACATGAGTCAACAATATAAACTAGACATAGACAAGATATATTATGTGTGCACATCAAGTCCACTCATAAAACAGGACATTGTGCCTGTTTAGAAAGTCGTAATGATAATGAGTTTTCCAACTCTCATTTTGTCACATTCTCCAGGTGATATACTAGTATCAGACAAATTCATTAATTCTAGAAATTTCTAAAACATTTTGAAATTTCCTGAGAAAGGTGATACTGCAGCTCTGGGTATCCCCAGGAATGAAACTTAAGAAAAATCTATGATTCTTAAACATTTTCCCTGACTTAATAGGACTATCTGTTCCTGGTTCTTGATCTCCTTTCAGTTATCCCTCTGTCTGTCACAGAATCAGAGAATTGTAGGAATTGGAAAGGACCTCTGGAGATCATCTAGCCCAACCCTCTGCTCAAGCAGGATCCTTACAGCAGGTTACACAGGTATTGAGTATCTGCAGAGAAAGAGATTCCACAACGCCTCTGAGCAACCTGTTCCAGTGTTCTGCCACTCTCACAGTGTCAAGAAGTTCTCTCATATTTGCCTCAAACTTACTGTGTTCCATTTGCTGCTTGTTGCCCCTTGTTCTATTGCTGCACACAACAGAAAAGAGCCTGGACTCCCTCTGCTTGACTCCTGCCCTTTAGATATTTATAAACATATTTATAAACATTGATGAGATCATCCCTCTCCTTTCTTCTCCAGGCAGAACAGCCCCAGCTCTCTCAGCCTTTCCTCATAAGGAAGATGCTGCAGGTCCCTCATCATCTTTGTGGGCTCTACACCTGCTCTTGTTGAAATCTATCAAGTTCTTCTCTGCCCAACCCTCCCATCTGTTCAGGTCTTACTGAAAGGCAGCAGAATGTACTCTGTCCCTTCATGCATGTCATTGATGTAAATGTTGAATAACACCAGATCCCGTACAGCTTGCTTCAGGCCTCCAACTAGACTCTGTACAGCTAATCACAGCTCGGTATTCTTTCTTTCATGCCCTGTTTAACTTTTTGATTACAGGAAGCCCACCTTTGGTTTGCGTCCCTTCCTTCTGTCTCTTTTTGTTAATTGGATCAATTGTGACGAAAATGATATAACTTTGCTTTAGATGATTAATTATGTGAGAGAGTGTAGAGATAAGCTGTGATCCACTGAGATCTTTCTTTTCCTTTGCACTAGCCCAGATTGTAAGTATCATCCAAATCTTCATTAAAGAGGATCTGAATTTTAAGTCAGGATATGGATATCCTTAAAAACTTTATTCTTACTTCACCTAAATGTACTTCCTCATAAACTACTAAAAATATGTGCTGTGTAAACAAGATAGAGAAATTGAAAACCGAAATAAGACAATGGTACCTTAGAATGTAGTATTTAAATTGTGATTTAAAGTTTTAGTAGTCCTTAGACTGGAGAGTATAAAGTCAGAATAATTTATGGTGTGTATTTTAATATGTAATATTTTGTCACTATATTGGAAACTGGCGTTAGAGATATTCTGTTTTATGGACAGATTAATGTGTTAATAGCACTGAGTGTATCCTCTTTTAGCTGTCTGCTGATAATAGAGTTAATGAGTCTGCTTAGCAGGTAAAGCATTATCTTAAAGCTATTTTTATTTTCATGTCAGTGCTCTTTGCAGTTAACCTAAGAAATTTTAAAATGTTTAATAAAATATTTAAGTGCATAATTTTCATTTTCCAGCTCTTTTGCTGACCTTTATGAAATCTGGTTTTTGGTTGCTTGTTTTGGAGAATGGCTGGATATTGCAGCAGAACAATTAATGAAAGCAGCTGTAGCCCCAGATGCTTTGCTGTGGCTGTTGTCTTTCTACTACTGTCCTGAGAATGAAGACCAACAAAGGACTCAAACAATGGTAGGTAGTGTAGTAACAATCAGCAGTAATCACTAAGTAGTCTGCTAATATCTCATAAAATATCTCTATATATTTAAATATCTATAAAATAAATAGCATGCAACCAGCATACCAGAAAAATGAAAGCTCTACTCTGAAGAAGGTACTGGTTTTGCAAGGTCTCTTGGGTTCTCTATTGCAGTGGAGAAGTGGAAAACTAATTCCTATGAATTTTCTTGGTGACATTTAGAAAACTTTTCCCATTTTTTAAAGACTTATATAGATTAGCACCTTTTGTCTTTTTTTTTTTTTTTTTTTTTTTTTTTTTTCAATAAAGTAAATGCTTTGAATTAAAAATAAAACAACTCTGGGAGTTACAGAATTCCGGACTCTTCTGCGATGGCTTCTTCTGAGAAGGAAACACCAGACAATTCACAGCAGCAGTTGAAATAGTGAAGATAATCATCACAGAGTCCCTGAATCCCAACCTCACCCATCCACTCTGATTTATCTTATGTATGTGCCAAAAATCAGCAGAGATATATGCCATATGTATATAAATATATAACATTCCCGCATGCTAAATCTCTAGCAGAATGAAGCAATATCAGAACTTTAGTCCCTGTCCTGCATAGACTGGTGTGTCTCTCTGTGTGCCTGTAAATGCGTGGAAGTCTTTGAGACCTGTTACGCAAGTCTGAACTAGCTTGAGCAATCTGATCTAGTAAGCCCAGTTTTAAAATCTGACGATAGTGTCTAGTTTTCCTTAGTTCAAAAACTGATTTGATTTAAAAATGCTGCTTAATACATCACACTAGTAAAACATCATGCTTTCATTTTACATCTGACTATCCAGTACCTTTTGTAACAGTCATTCCTTCCTTCCCCCTACTACCTATGCAAGTTCACATATGAGTCACTTTTAAATTTTTTTCTCTTCAATTTCTTATACTCCAGGAGCAGAGGTGTAATACTGGTTGGGTTAGATTAGAGGTACAGCAGAGTAAAGAAACCAGAGTTTTAGAATATGCTTTTGAGACAGTACTCAGTACCCCAGCAATAAATACAGCCGAGTAAAGCCAAAGGCCTTGTAATTGCTGAGCTCTATATATGCACAGCATTTTTCAGTTCCAGCACCTCAGAATGAAATCACATTGCCCCATGTATCCTTCCTGTTTGTCCCTTATACTATCAGTTTGTTACTCTCAGTCATTGTATGACAGACTTCAGTAAGAAGAAAGTTTTTCCACTGAGATGCCATGCAGTTACTGATAGTTCAGTGTGATCTTTTCTTGAGTTATTTAGAGTGAAAAAACCTTATTTTCCACAGATTAAACTACTTGACATGTATTCCTACAGCTAATGCTAAGCTTATGCCTTAAGTTAGGTCTTGCTTTTTTATTATAGCCTTTTCAGACTATTTATGTTAACGGAGAAGGGATGAGAAAAAATGAGGTCAGGTAACTGACTGAAACAAGTTGTCTTTCTGAACATGGTTGAGAAATAGCTGTCCTTTTGAGTTTGCAGTGCTATATTTTTTCCCTGGTTCCTGTTTGTAGGTTAAGTGTTTATCTATTTATTTACTTACTTACCAATTTGTTTAGTTTAGATAGAGTGAACAAAATTAATGTTAATTCTTTTTATGTTGTGTAAGAGCCAAAGTCTTCTGTTTTCTATACCCAGTAAAAGTAAGTTTTTATTGGCTAACTCAAAAGGTAGAAACATAATTTGCAAGCAACACAGGAAGATGGAAAAAAATGGCATTCTTACCAGATGTTTTATCAGTTGAGGTCAGATTGCATGGGGATTTAATTGATTTTAGCAGCAAGGCTGAAATGAGCCCTTGAGGATCCTCTGTTCTTTTTCCCACAATGCGAAAATCTGACCACGTTCAACTGAAGGACTTTCTCTATTTCCTTTTATTATTAAAAAAGGTCAAATCCTGGCTTTGTGCCTTCCTTGCTTAGTTTGCAAGACTAAGGAAAGTTAATAAATCCATTCTGCCCACATCTGTGTGTGAATCAGTATGAAAGAAATGTGTGCACTGCCTTCTTTCCCTTTTTGCCTTGCTGCCTAAATGCAGACTTTTTTATGAGTATTTCTGCCAAGTATTCCCTTTCTTATTAGTGAATAAATCCGTAGGAAAAATACCATGGGTGACCTTTACTCTTCTCTGATCCTGCATGCTTTGAAATTGTTCCTTACAGGTAGAATCTCGAGCAGTCTACAGTCATCTAATGATGTTCTACAACCGTACTGTCCTTTCATTTGGAGAGCTGCAGGCTTCTGTGAACAGTATAGCAGATACAGAACAGTATCATACCCAGTGTCTAATAACACATCTTCTCACCAACTTTTTACTCTTTTCTTCTGGAGGACACATGATTGCACAGGAATTTATTTCCCATGTAAGTGGTGATTGTTTTGTGTTTTGTTTTTTTTTCCTTCTTCCCCTTCCCCCTCCCCCCAGTTTAAGTAAAACATACCTTTCTTACAAACTCAGATTTAAGATTCTACATCTTAAGAAAGAGAATTGAAGAACATCTGACTATACAAACAATAGATAACCTGCTGTATAATCTGCATGGGTCACTCTGAAAGAAATGTCTTCTATTTAATTCCATGGAAACTTCAACAGAAACAAAGAACACATTAACACTATTTGATTGAGCAAATTCTTACCTACAAAGCACTATTTTTCAGTACAGTCACCACCATTAGCTATGCATTTTCTCCAGGAGTGAACAAATGTCTGCATACCATGCTTGTAAAAATCTGTGCTAACAGATGTTTCACTGCTGCTATGATGGCATCATTGCTAGGAAAACGTTGCCTACACAGTCCATCTTGCATTGGCCTGAACAGATGGAAATTAGAAAGCACCTAATCTAGACTGTGCGGTAGGTGTGACAGGACAGTCCAGCCAAGATTGGCACTGTGCTCCATGGTCTTCAAATTGGTGTGGGGCCTGCCCGTATCGTGTTAACAAGAGAAAGGTTGTCGTCTTTTCCAGTCTGATTCTGGAAGTTTGAGCCTTCAGCTCGGTAGCTGTCACTGTTGCCACTGCTGAGACACACCACCCACTGCATCACTGTTTGGTTTCCATAAACATTCAGCATCAGTGAATGTCAGAGAGGGTGAATTGTTTTTAATATGGAAGAATTCAGTGACAAACCTTTGCTTCATACACACTTCCATGTCAGGCTGCCCCTCAGCTGCCATCTGTTGCACAGTGCCAAAATGTAATTGAATATTGGTTGGAAGGTTTGACCTCTGTTGCTACATATCAACATCCTCCTCTGCCATTGTGGGTCAACATAAAAGCAGTTTTTTATTTCAGCTACAGTCAAACTATTTTCCTTCTTGACACATCTTGACAAGATCTCACTGGAAAAAATATTCTGTCCTAACAATAAAGCTGCAGAAATTCTCCATGCAGAATCTTGCAACTAACGGATGCCTATATTTAACTTACACTCCTTGATAGTCTTATGTATTTCTTCTATTAAGGTATCCAAAACCACACGCAGCACCAAATTGTGCTGCATGGCAGTGACTTTGGTTGGCTTAGTAAAGTTTGAGATTAACCCACCGGATCTGCAAAAATTATGCCTTTTTTGTCATTGTCTAGCAGAGGGATATTCTTTTACCCTTTGAAACATTATAGAATTGAATTGTCTCCCTAAACCCATCAAGAACTTAATATGCTTTCAGTTGGTTTCAAAGGAGACAGCTCCTGAATTGTTGCACTATTTGTGTTTAAAAACTTTTAGAGATCTTGATTTATTTCCCTTTAGTCTTAGAGAACCTCAGATGTCTCAAAGATGCCGAGCTCATCCAGGAGGTGTCAAAACGGACAAAATGAAACTTTCTTTTGAGCTCAGTTTTTATTTTCAGAGCATCTCGTGCTCAGCTGTAAGGGACAGATCTGCGATTATATTGCTGATAGTAATAGAGAATAACTTGCACTTAATACATTAACTGCATTATTTCCCATTTCTCTGTTTTCCTTCAGATTACTGAGACAACTGACATGAGCAAGGAAGTTAGTAGCCTTCTTATCCGTACTGCATACAGAATTAAACCTAATGGAGGAGAAAACCAAAGGACCGTGAAGCTGTTGAATGAACTTCTTCAGAAACTAGCATTGGAAGTTTAGGTTTTCAGTGTTGTTTCTGTCCAGTCAATAAGTTAGATCTTTATGTGTCTGCCTTTCATGAAAGTCCTGCTCTGCAGGTTAGCAAGGGTAGATAAAAAATCTCGTTCCTGAGGATATCCCGTAACCTTTTCTTCCCCTGCACTGTTTAGAAATGTAAACCGTGAGGACAAAAAGAATTAAAGATGGTTGAAAACTTTGTTCTGAGCTCCTTCTTTTACAAAAAACCTATGTCGTTTAAATCAGTTTACTCATGTTCTTGTTTATCTGGCTGCCGATTAGTTTTTTTCCCAAATTACTCATGGCTTTATGAGCAATTTTATCCAATTGTTTGGTTGGTAAGTTGTTTCTAAAATGTATTGTTCTATAATTCTGCTTTTGTGTGGCTAATGATGATCTCAAGCGAGAGTTAATGATTCATGATGAGTGCACTCCATGTTCTCAGGAAATCAACAGTGTTTCCTGAACTTGTTAATTCTTTTTGAAAACATTTCCAAAACAAAGCTCCTTTCATGTTTGTTATATGATTATTTAACACTGCTGCAGTTTTCACAGGACAATGTTCTCTGCAATGTACAATGCCAATAGCTGGTCTCCATCAGCAACTGCAGCAAAGAAGTTTCTGTCAGCCTATTTTTCACAAAGCAATCTTTTTTTTCATGCAGACAAAATAGGGCAAGTTATAGTTATCAGGAAACTCCTATTTGAGGCCTAAATTTCCTAAAAAAACAGGGTTGTGGTTGCTAGTCATCTTCTTTTCTGCCTGATATGGTTTCTTTGCTTACTTCTTTCTTTGTCTGATGGAGCATGGACAAGGAGCAGTGCCTTCTTGTTTTATCCAAGAAGTTTTGTTCACTTGTTTCTAGCTTAATTAAATAAAATAAGCATGAAGAACCGGCAGAAGTGATTGCTGAACTGTTCTTTGTCATCTTCGCAATTACAGACCAGTCAGACTCACCTCTGTCCTGGAAAGGTTCTGGAGCAACTTGTTCTGGATGCCATCTCCAAGCAGTTGGAAAAAAAAGAATGTTATCAGAAGTAGTCAGCATATATTCACCAAGGGGAATTTATGCTCAACCACTTTGGTAGCCTTCTATGATGTCATCACAGTTTTGTTAAATGAGGGGAGATGCATCCTTTGTCTCAGCGAGTCTTGACAAAATTTCCCACAACATCCTTGTAAAGATGAGTAGGAAATGTGGGATAGATGAGTGGGACAATGAGGTGGATTGAGAACCGGTTGACTCATAGAATTCAAGGGGTCACGACCAATGGTGGAATCTGGTTGGAGGCCTGTTACTAGTTGCGTTTGCCAGGGGTCAATGCTGGGTCCAGTCATCTTCAACATCTTCATCAGCTACCTGAATGAAAGGATAAAGTTCACCCTCAGCAAGTTTGCTAATGTTTCAAAGCTGGGAGGAGTGGCTGACAGAGCAAAAGGCAGTGCTGCCATTCAGCAAGACCTGAACAGTCTGGAGAGTTGGGCAGAGAGCAACTTGATAGATTTCAGCAAGAGAAGTGTAGAGCATTGTATCTGGGGAGGAATAACTGTATGCAGCAGTACATTCTAGGTAGGGGCTGACCTCTTGTAAAGGAGCTCTGCAAAGAAAGACCGGAATGTTCTGGTGGACAACAGGTTGACCATGAATCAGCAGTGTAATCTTGTGGCCAAGAAAGCCAGTGATATTCTGAGTTGCATTAAAAAGAGCAAGGCTAGCAGGTCAAGAAGTGATCCTCCCCCTCTATTCTTCCCTGGTGAGGCCACATCTAGAGTACTGGGTGCAGTTCTGGGCTCCCTGGTTCAAAGACAGAGAACTGCTGGAGAGAGTCCTGCAGAGGGTCACAAAGATGATGAGGGGCCTGGAGCATCTCCCTTACAAGGAAAGGCAGAGAGAGCTGGAGCTGTTCTGCCTGGAGAAGAAAAGAGAGGGATGGTCTCATCAATGCTTATAAATATGTTTATATATCTAAAGGGCAGGAGTCAAGTAGAGGGAATCCAGGCTCTTTACAGTGGCATGCGGCAATAGAACAAGGGGCAACAAGCAGAAACTGAAATATAGTAAGTTTGAGGCAAACATGAGGAGGAAGTTCTTTATTGTGAGTGACAGAGCGTCGGAACAGGTTGCTCAGAGAGGTTGTGCAGTCTCCTCTGGAAGTATTGAAGACCCACCTGGACATTTTCCTGTGCAAACTACTGTAAGGATCCTGCTTGAGCAGAGGGTTGGGCTAGATGATCTCCAGAGGTCCCTTCCAACCACTGTGACTTTGTGATTCCTTGTATTAAACTGAATGGTTTGTTGAACTTGAGTTTTTGGTGTAGTGGAGACATCTAAAGTGTTCTGTGTAGGATGAAAACACCCTAAAATTTGTCTCCAAAGGAAGTATTCCATTATTTGATGTGAGATTCCTTAAATTTTCTTCAGATTAAAACTGTAGGTAATTTTACTTAGAAGGATTAGCAAAGAGTTGCAATGCGTGATTCTTGCAGATTTGTTAATTTAATGCTATGGGTATTAAGTTGCAGGAGGTGAATTTTTAACCATCCTTTCACAGTGCATTTTTTTTTAACCACTAACCAAATGCATGGAAACTCCTGTAACTTTCTTAAACAAAATGAATATCGTATTAAATAGTGTGAGATCTATTCAAGCAGAAATGAAATGTGTAGTAATAGCAGAAAGAACAAAATGAGCTGTGAAAAGGTATATTCTAGTTTTCCTGTGTTTATCTTATTAAGAAGTACTGAATAATTTAAACATTATAAGGAGCGTTTGCTGGTTTATGGAGACTTTAAAGAAAAGCCATCAATTGAAGCTATCTGTAACTTTAAAAAGGAACATCTGTACTGGCATTCTTTTTGCTTGATTTAGTATACTTCTAAATCTTTAGTGTTTCTTTTTCCTTGCTCTTTCACAGTGCCTGAATTATGATCTAACATTGATATAAACCATGATTTCGTGGGATGTCTAATCTGCTTTTGTTAGTGTGCCAGTGGTAGGCAACAGAGTGCTTTTGGTAGATCTGAGTAATGGAAGATTTCTCCTATGGTGGCTTCTGCATCATCTGCCTAATGAGTATCACCTCCTCTGCAGTCTGCTTTCTTAAAAAGTCCTTTGGAGCCTTCAGGGCTGTACTTACCTGCAGAATCAGCCAGAAAGTCCTGAAATTGGGACTACAGGTTGATTTTTCCCTTCCTTCCAATCTCCATGTCACCGCACACTCATTCTGGATATTACACTGCATAGAGAGCTTTTTAAAATGTTGTGCTTTAAGGAGTTGCTTTGACTCCCGGTAAATTTAGCATATTTGTTGATGATATTTCATTCCAGCCCAAGACTGTCATGTTACAGCCCTTTGTGTTCTGCATGCTGTCCAGCCAGGGAAAGAGCTGGTTGGCGTCTGTAGCTTCTCTTCAAAAAAAGATCGTGCTGTGGCTTCTCTTCATTTAGGATCTCAGTGTTGTGCATGTACAAAGCAGAATGTGCTCCGTTTTGCAAGGTGTGCTGGGAACAGGTGTGTTACCAGCTAATGCAGTTTAGATGACCACCAGTAAAATATTAATCTGTTGCTTCTGGGATTTGTCATCTACTTTCCATAGTGGCATTGTAAATGGGCAGGAAAGTGTTCTGGAGAGTCAGATTGAAGACACAAGCGAAAGAATATTATTTATGGTAGGCTATAGTTCATGCTGTGGAACTGCATGTTTGGCTTGATTTTGGTTTGGGATAATACAATCAAAAAAATTCTTAAGTGTTATGCAAGTTACTGATGAAAGGTCCAACAGAAATAACGAGCAACTACTAAAGCAAACACTGAAAATACAAGTTCGATCTGTGTATTTCATGGACTATTAAATGACATAATAAAATGCTGATGTTGTGTGTGAGTGAAAAATGTACTAAACAAAATGCAGTTTTTTATTGTGATGTGAGAAATAGTACAAGAAGGTGAGAATTTCTGAACGTCAGCTGCAGCTGCCATAGCTGAATCTGAAAAGTCAAAACCTTTAATATTAAATGAGGAGTGCTGCACCTGACATGAGCATGTTTTCAGTCCATGTCTTCATATTTTCCATATAGTCTTCAATGGCTATGTTAAGCTATCATCGTATGCTGTTGGGATACACAAGTTACATCACTGCAGCCAAATAAGTTGGTGCCAGATGCCTCCCTCTAGCACCTAATTCAGTGCACTATTCCCATACGGGTCTGTTTAAGTCCACCTACCTCTCTGGTACTTTCTTCTTCCTCATAATAGATGTTTTCCTTTAGATACTTGTCTGGATATTAACACATACACTGACGGTAGCCAGTTCTGCTGCTGCTGCCTTAGCAGCGGGCAGCTTATGTGTTGTCTGTTCACGGTGAGTGCCAGCAAGGGGCTTCCCTTGCTTGTGTTGGCCGCCTTACCTTTAACCTGCTGTCTGTCTGCTGGAGGAAATAAACCTCACCAGCCCCAAAAAGGGCTGAGTCCTTCTGATGGCCAGGATCCAGTAGGAGTGGATTCAGAGTGAATTCAGAGGGACTGAACTGCTGTAAGACACTAGGAAAAAACATGAGACTTTTTTTCTCAGATTTTTTTCTCAGATAAACTGCAGAAGAGTTCGAGTTATGTTGTCAGTAGGCACAAATTGTCGCTTAAATTGTATTTTGTTCTTGCATGTATGTGAAGGAATAAGGGAGAGAAGGGAGGAAAGAAACAAGTGCACTGAAACTCTTGCAGAAATTTAGCAGTAATTTTTCATATACAATTTAATGGTAGCACTTTTCTAGAAATAGGAAATAATTCCATCTATGACAGTTAGCCCGAACACCAGCAAATAGCAGAAAACTTCAAACAGGGCTGTATCTTTAATAGTTCTGTGTACTTACCCTATTTTGTATGTCTTGACAAACCTTGCTATTGTAAAAGCATGCTCCATAACTCTTCTGAGCTATGCTAGACAGACTCATTTCAGAAAGCAGCAGCCCCTTGGAAACAATGTCCCTCTCTGTTATTTTGAATAAAACTACATGTCAAGCCCATGAACTTTTGCCAGTGCATATTTCCATCTAGAATACATTTTGACGTGTTCTTGACCATAATTAACAGTTCCACTTAGTAAACTATGTTCTGAGTTATACTGTCCTTGAGACTCCCCACGTGTGCGTGCCTAACCAAACTGTATACAGTTCTTTCCCTCTTTGCTGTTTTATTTCTTTGTGGGATTGCTGGGAGCCTCCCAAAATGATGCACTCTGTGTGCTGTCTGCTACCGATAAAAGTTCCCTTAAAAATTAATGTGTATGTAGCCTTTTTTTTTTTTTTTAACTGATAGTGCTGTAAATTCTAACGTGTTTAATTTGCCTAAAAGAATGTCTTTTTAAAAAATTTTAAACTAAGTTGTAATGGCAGCTGAAAGCACAAATTTCCAGCCAGTATCTTTCTTGATAGAGAACTCTGATGAATGTTTAACTCTTCCTAGAAATGTTATGTCTGTGCTGCATTTCTACATCAGCTTGAGCTGTTTGCAAATAGAAAGGGAAAAGCAATTAAGTTGGAAATTACTGATATCTGAGAAGATGGAATCATTACCATCTTTTCTAGAGACATGACAAAAATACAAATGTTTTCTTTGTAGACCAATGAGTTTGTTTTTGAAACATGCTGAAGAAAGCAATTATCTTTCAGCTTTCCTTTCTTGCAGGCTTGCTTCTTTGCTAAAATGAGTAAGCAGTGCACTGAGC